CTTCTTTATCTGTCTCCTGTAGCAAAACTCTTAACTGCTTATAGACTAGAGCCTAAAAAATACATCACTATTTGGTTTAACTATCAGTATATTAATAAGATTACGCAAAAGAGGTATTGGTGCAGAGTTATTGATTATAAATGCCCCCCTTCTAAGTTAGTTATTTATAAAGCTACATAGACATTATTTTTTAGCAAAATATTGGAAATAAATTGATTTGGCAAAAAAAATCAAATGTAGCTTTAAACAGAACTAACTTAGAAGGGGGGCATTTATGATCAATAACCTTCTTTACTCACCCGAAGTTCCTTTGATAAAATTTTTGAATTAATATTTTTACGCCAAGCTTTATCTAAATGCCATGTACAGTATAACCTAAAAGTCAAAGTTAATAATATTATTGCCTATTGCTATATGAGATTCAATTTATTTACCGTTTTTCTGGTAATCCCATAACCTTAATCCATGCATTAAAGTATGCCTCTGCCATGTCCGACATAAAGGTTTGTCATTTTATAGTCCCAACTTGTTTTTGTACTTAATACTACTAAAAATAGAGCCAAAACATCAAAATCTGACCGATTTGAAATAAGAAACCCACAGGGGAAACCTTCTCTAAGTTCATCTACAACCATTATTGTGTGTAATTCAAAATCATAGTTATTAGTTCCATGTGTGCCATCTAAGCAAATTATATCTTTTCCATGCTTCAATAAAATTTCCCTTTGTGATGATGTCATTATTATTAAAATAAAGTCTTCTTCTTTAAATTTAAATTTTTCTTCTAGTAAAATGCCTTGCGGTTTATAAAATAGGACACAGTTACCATTTTCTTTCATATTGTTTACCCAAGACTCTACGCTTACAGCATCATTTTTGTGCCACGTTGGTGAATGTGCAAGTTGATATGCATACTCAATATTAAACAAATCTTTTCTGTTGCTAAGATGAATCCTTTGTAAATCTGAATTAACTACTGAATTTCTGATGTCATCCAAAATAATATTAAAGGGAATTTTTTGAGCAATTTTTGAAGCTAATAAGTTTTTTTCTTGCTTTGTTAAGGTCATATGGGCCAATTCTTGTCTGTGTCCCACATGGGTTTTCATATGTTTTACAGTGCAACTGCCTAAAACAAAATTTAACATAAACAAAAAATAATTAATCTAAACTTATCACTCGACTTACCATCAGTACTAATTGTCAAATTTATAGATGCCGGACAAAACGCATTTATTTTCTTGGACCCCTGGAACTTTAAATGCCGTTTTTGATGTCCACGAGGCATATACACCCCTGAACGACTGCAAACATAACGATTTTGAACATGGTGCTTAGATGATTTTGTTGTCTCTTTACGAAATTGCGTAGAATTGTTTTTTTCAATGGTTTTTTTCCAATCCAAAAATTCAGAGACTGATAAAAACTGCAGTTCCTCAAATTCAACTTTTACATCATGAAGGTTTCTGATATGTTTAACAAATTCTTCCAAGGAAGGTGATGAATAAGTTTTGCACAAAGGGCAAATTTTGTGCTTAATATTTTTTCCTGGCAGTGTTAGAACCTCGGTTGGAACAGTACTGGCACTGGAATGTAAATTTTTTATATGGCTTTTTAAATAGTGTTTATACGAATATTTTCGGTTACAATGACTGCATTGATAATTATATGTAACTTCAACTTCAGGACGAGTTTCAGAATATTGGGAGTCAGCATGTTTTTGCTTAATGTGCCTTTTAAGGGTGTATTTTTTGTGAAGTATTTGTTACATACCAGGCACTTGTTATCACTTATCTTCTGTGGAAGGTTCTTAAATTCTTCCTGATGTTTCCTTTTAAGATGCAGTTTTAATGAGTCACTTCTGGCAAATATTTTTTTGCATACCCAACAAAATTGGGGTGCCATTGGGGTTTTATTTACCTACTTCAATCACAATTCAATACACAATATGACATGGTAATTAATTGGTAAATTTTAGAGAACACTCAAAATCATAAGGTAAAAACAGTAAAAACACGGCCAAAGTAAAAAACATCAAAGGCCAACAAAAACATAATTGTGAACATTGAAGTTTTCATGTTTTCAAATGTCATTAATGTCAGTTGTCAAATTGGTGGAAATGTGCTGTGTGAGGTTATCGGCACAGACTCTAGTATAAATGCTTTTACGTCACAGTTTTTGTCGCCATTAAAACGCGAAGAACATTTTGCAACATTTCCATTTAAAGCTTGAATAGCAGGCACTGGATTTTGAGGAGCAACGGTAAGTGTCTGCAGAAGCTGTCTAAATTGTTGATCCGTCAATGTGACCGCCACCGTCTCCAAGTCCGTGCCTTCGGCGGGTCCTCGAGATCGTAATTGATAGGGATGCTCCACCGTGGACAAAGAAAAATCTTTCTAACTACTGTACCTACAGTTTGGTAGGCCTTCCTATTTTTTTGCTTGCAAACACTTCACTATATTCGATTATTGTCCACTCGATTATCCTAACAAAATAATTGCAGGAGCTTAGAGTCAAATCGTGAATGTTAACTAATGTTATTATCGTGAATAACACACTGCACTGTAATGCGATTAGCTGATTGAAGTTATCGGAGTCGGGGTCAACGAACGCGTTTTGTAATTTAGTCCAAAATCGGCAACGCCGCGCCGGGAGCCGAAAACACGACGACACGACAAGCCGGGAAATCGTCGAAAAGCCGTTTGCAATTTTCACACTTTGCAAATCTTTCCAGCCACAAGTTGAGCGCCAGTGTAAGATTGCTGTTGGGGATTTTGGCAATTGTTACGGTTATATATTTTAAAGGGGAGTTAATTTTCTTATATTTATTTTAATCATACATCTTGACAAAATGGTGAATGTGGTGATTTATTATATTTAATTATAACCTTGAAGATGACACGTTAATAAAATATAACAATACATTTCTTAATACATAAAAATTATTTATTTATTTTCTATTTACAAGTAAAGTAAATGTGCATTAACTCTAAATCATAATTTAACTTCATATTGTTGTATTTTTGGCCAAATGTAATATTTTGTAAATGATATCTTTGACTCGATCTTGAGGTATTATTCTTCAGGTTATGGAAGGGTAAATGCATCGTGTAAAGACTTCTTATTTATCTAAAATAACGTTAATTAAAGTAATATTAATAATAATTATTGAAGGCATTATTGTTATTAAAAGGTATGTACATCGTTTCTTATAATATAATTAATATAATATGATTTCCCTTTGTAGCAACCAAACAGCTAACAAAATGCCATGAATATTTTCACCTGAACAGAAGTAAACAAATACCAAAAATAAGTATATAAAGTGGTTATTATTAATATTACTTTAATTAACGTTATTTTAGATAAATAAGAAGTCTTTACACGATGCATTTACCCTTCCATAACCTGAAGAATAATACCTCAAGATCGAGTCAAAGATATCATTTACAAAATATTACATTTGGCCAAAAATACAACAATATGAAGTTAAATTATGATTTAGAGTTAACGCACATTTACTTTACTAGTAAATAGAAAATAAATAAATAATTTATATCTGTACCCCAGGATAAAAGTGTACTAAGTCCAAATTATCGATTTTTGGGAAAAGCCAATTAAAGAGTTATTTTTGCAATTTTGTTATTTTTCCGATTTGTTTATTTTTTTAGAGCATTCAAAATTTTTATAGGATAAATATTACTTATTATTAATAGGTACCCAATACAGTTTTAAAGAAAGTGAGTTTTTACTTGGGTTTTGGAGTTAGATTTTTTTTTTGGACTTAATATTATTTTGTTACAATGTCATGTGAAGTAACAGGACTTGATACTGACATGATTTTAATACAAGCTAGAGAAATAATGTGTTAAGTAACAGTACTGCTTTAAAAAATGTAATTTTTTGAAGTTCGGTGGTAGATTTTACCGATCAAACCTAAGCTTCTCTAATGGCCTAAATTTCCGATAGATTTTTGAAATTTATTAACACTAGGGATTTTTAATAATTAAAAAATTAAAGTCGAGTCATCCAATTTCGTTTAAATAAAAGTAATGTAACTCTTTTCAACAAGATGTTAATAGTAAATTTAAGGTGTCAAACTAAAAAACATAAAACGTATTTTTCTTAAGTGTACCCACAGGTGCTCAACCATACTTCATTAATTTTCATCTTCGTGTTGACCATCTTCTACATTTGCGTGCTTTAAGTTTTTGTAAAATTCGTGAAACTGTTTTGGTATCCACTTTAACAATGTTTGAAGATGGTTAAATTTTTTGAAGATAAAGGATTAGCTTCAAATCTTAAATTTGGAACTTCTGCGGGGAATGTTGCTCTTCTTCCGGTCCGAATTAAATCGATCGATTGGAAATTCATAGCACCAAAGTTGGTTTTAAAATACAAAATTCCATGGTCTTCTGCACGCACTTGTAAAACTACAACCTTTGATATAGCGAAGTCACTACCTGTGCTATCTTTTTTTCGGGATATAAATGGCGCCGTAGAACTGCAAAACAATTGCTTAAAATCTTTAAAATCCTCTATTTCCATGTTTATGATTTCAAAGGGATTATTTATGCTGCACATTCGTGCTATTTGCTGCCAATCCTATGGCGTCATTATTTGAAAACCAACAGTCTTTTTTTTCTCGCACTCAATTAGGGAATGACATGCGTCTACCTCTAGATGAGTATGGCCTCTCAATAAGAATTTATGCTCAATCCTTTTCAAAGATGGAAATTTTTTGAGAAGATAAAAATAAGCCATTACCATAATTAAATTTCGGTTCTGGGATGGGCAGTTATCGGACCAGATAATTAGATTTTCGTGAGTTGGCTTTATATTTGACATTGCCCATTTTAACATTCCAGAAGCCATCTCATTAGCACCACGCCTAGATTTAGATTCGTCCCACATTACACATGTAGTGACTTTGTTGGTGACATTGTAGACGGTATAATTGTAGGTCCATAATTTCAAACTATAAAAGCTTTGAGAGTTTGTTAACACTGGTGTAGGGGAAGACACTTCTGCATATCAACACAAACCATTATGCTTTTGAATTTATCTTCCAAATATTTTTGTTTATCTTCTTTCTTCAACTTATACCTCTTTGAAGCTTCTTCTAAATGTAAATCATATTCCTTCTGCAAAGTTTCCTTTTCTACTATACTAGGTTCCTCACGCAATTTTATTAAAAAATGATCACATTGATCGCAAGTGTCATTATCTAGGTATTTGAAGGAGAGGTTAAATTTCGTATTAAAAATTTCAGCATATAACCATTCTTTGGCGATATGAGCCTGCTCTACATTATTTTCCTCACACTCTGCTTGATACATTCTGTACATTTTTGCGATGCTTAAATGACTTCCCAAAAATTTTCTAGCAGATCTTTCTCGAGAATAGTGCGATTCCTCAACTGGAAACTTCCCTATGTGCTCATGAACATGTTGCTTAACGAATTCAGGCGTTTTGGCGTGTTGGTCATGTTTACCTCTCCCATCTGCAGCAATGATACCGCCGGGCTCTTTTTTGTTTAAAGCAGTGGTTACAAAAGTTTGAGAAATATTTAAAGTATTATGAAAAAACGTCCGGCATACACGAACGGTCAAATCATTCATTTCAAAATAATAATTTCTGGTATGACTTCTAGCATCATTTCTAGCTCCGGTCCTACGCCTCTTTCTTAATATTGGGACAACTTTTACATGGGATGCGACGAACTGTCTCTTTTGGTTTATGTCTTTAGTACCATCCCAAAACCTGGCATGAATGTTTAATCTCTCCTCGTGGCAAACTTTTTCACTGCATTTAAGGCGGCAAGAAATATTACAAGGCGGACCTATGGTTTTTTTAGAGATCACCTTCTTTTTTGATTTATGTTCTAAACCAGAAACTACTTTCATGTGTTGTTCATTGATTTTCCATTTTTTTTCTTGTCGTTTCCGCTTTCTACTCTTCTTATTATTATTTTCATTCCTTTGACTTGCAGTGCTGTCACTCGAGTGATGTGAAAAATCGTTGTCACTTTCATAATTTGGATCTAATAAACTATCATCATCTGACTCTTGCAATTCTGTTTCGTCTTCCATAATATTAGTAAGGCCTATCATTTGTTCCCTCTTATCGCTTGTATAAATAGTTAATTTAGACCTGCAGGATGGGCCATCTAAAAGTGCAAGAGTATTAGGCCGCATAAAACAACGCAACTAGAATACAATACCTTCGGCCTCACTGTGATATTTTTCATTTCCGTTACCACTGGGCAAGTTTCATTTATACAGGATAGACCTTCTAAAAGTGTAAGAGTATTAGGCCGCATAAGGCGTCGCAATTAGAATACAATACCTTCAGCCTCACTGAGATATTTTTCATTTCCGTCACCACTGGGCAAGTTTTCATTTATACAGGATGGGCCTTCTAAAAGTGTAAACGTATTAGACCGCATAAAACGACGCAATTAGAATACTATACTTTCAGACTCACTATATTTTCCATTTCCTTCACCACTGGGCATATTTTCATTTATGTTGACTGTGTCAAGATACTCAAAATCGGCTACTGTATAACTAATTTCTTCTACCGGAATTTCGCTATTTCGGGTCTCTAAAAGTCAAGTTGGTGTTAAAAATAGTAAAATTAAAATGGCACTATACCTTTAATAATCCCATTTTCAGGTGCTACAAGCTATTTCTACTGCAATTATTATTTTTTGCTCAATTATTAATTTTATTTTGAGGTTAGGATAACTTACCATCAGAATTTTCAGGTAGTTTAATACTACTTCCTTCGTTTTTCAGCAGACCCAGAATCCTTTTGCTTCTTGAACTCATGCTTACAAGACACTCTTTCTATTAAAATCACTAAACAGGAATAAATTATTGTTTATGCTTATTAACCACTGATGCACTTCATGTCCAACAAATAACTGCCGATATTGTGGACTTAATACTGTCTATGCCATCATAACATTAGACAAATATGGACTTAATATTATATTTTTTCACAGGTGCCGGTAAGAAAGGGTTCTATTTAATTTAATATTGTTTTCTTCCCTCGAGTTCAAAGCCATTAGCGACAGTACAAGTCATGTCAGAAACACTTTGTAGTTTTACCCCTAAACTTAACATCACATTCATGCTATGCTCATTGACAAATATTCTATTCGCCCCAGAATCAAGCAACCCTTTTACTTCCCAATCATATAACCTAACTGAAACATATGGACATTCACCATCTCCGGCCTGAGTTAACATGTAGTCTAAAATTGGTTTACTATATGTGTTAAAGTTAAACAGTTCATCCTTAGAGCAAAAATGATCAATACTAGAATCTAAGTCAAAATTATAAACCGATAAAACCGTAGAAGTTGAAGCTCGGTTTACACTTAACTCCTCGAACCGTTTCCCTGTTTATTACATTTTGGACAACTAACTTTTGTATAACCTAATAACCCGCAAGAAAAACACTTTTTGACCTGCGCTTTACAATGTCTTGCTAAATGATTATCCCCATTACATCTATAACACTTAACGACGTTCCCTCTAGTATTATTATCCAAATCCCTATTATAACTATCATGCCTACTATTTCTATGTTTCCTATAACTACATAAATCAGATCTATCCCTACCGGACGACCTGCCTTAGCTAAAGTATTAGACATGGAGAACTATATTGAATATGAAGAAGTGCCAAATTATTACATAGATAAAGTATCAAAAATTGTAGGAGGTTCTGCATCCAAACTCTCATCCATTACTAACATTATAAACTTTACCCAATAAAAAAAAAAAAAAGAGAAAAAAAAAGTATGTTACGGTTATATATTTTAAAGGGGAGTTAATTTTCTTATATTTATATTATCATACATCTTGACAAAATGGTGAATGTGGTGATTTATTATTTTTATTTATAACCTTGAAGATGACACGTTAATAAAATATAATAAATCACCACATTCACCATTTTGTCAAGATGTATGATTAAAATAAATATAAGAAAATTAACTCCCCTTTAAAATATATAACCGTAACACAATGTCACGTAGATCACAACGTCACACAAGACCTTCGCAGACTGACTGCTCGGGCGGCGCGGCGTTGCCGGCTTGTCCACCGTATTTAGGGAACATATGACAGCTCGGGAGGTCCGGTCGTTACAACATTAAAATATCTTTTTACTATCTTAAAATAGAAAAGAGAAAAATTTTAAATTGGGTGAGACACTTAAAATGATTCTGGAACAATTCATTTTTAAATCCACTGTATATCGAAAACGGTAAGTGCAAAGTATACTAAATTATATATTTTTGAAATTAGCTAAAATATGTCTATCGGACCATGTTAAAATATGTGGGAGTTTCCATTAAAAAAAAATCAAGTTGGCGTCGTATCTGTCAAAATTGACATTTTAAGAAAAAAACAGATAAAAATCGGCACCCTCGCGAAAAATTACATTAAAATATCTTTTTACTATCTTAAAATAGGACACAGGAGAATTTTAAAATGGGTGAGACACTGTACTGTACATACTATATCCTACACCTCAGAAACGGCAAAAACCGCCACCATAAAACAAAATACCAATTCATTCACCTTTTATGAATAGCAGAACAATTACAAACGTTAGTCACGTTAATGGCCAGCAAACACACACATTCAGAATTTTGTCTTGTCAAAACTTATTGTTGGTTTGTTTACAACTTGAAAGGTTGTATAAAAAATTTCTTAGCTAATTTACATTTGTTTCAAAGATGGAACAAGTGATGGTAGGTGTATAATGGTATATTCATCATCTCTTCTTTACTCTAAAACGGTATAGAAATTTAAAAAAAATCATTAATTTTAATTTTACCGGTATAATTCGAGGGGGGGGGTTGGACCTCCAACCCCCCCCCCCATATACGGCCCTGATGGCTACACATATTGAAAATTGCGATTCCTTGTCAAATGTGGATATGGCGTATTATACGTTTTTATCTAACCATCCAGCTAACCAATAAAGATCGGTGATAATTGACTTGGCGACAGATCCAATTGTCACCGACCAGAATAATGCGATAAAAAAAGCAAACAATGCACATTAAAAAAATAACATCACAAAAACTATAAACAATATGCAAATTAGACTCCATAACAATTCCTTAAACACAAAAACCGAATCAAATCAAATAGAAAAATCAACATTAAAAACGATACACGATATATTGCGCTCCCCTTCGTAAATGGGTTGTCTCAACAATTACAATGGTTACAAAAAAGTTAATATAACGATTTGTCATAAAGCACATAACTTGTTAGCTAATAATAAATTTCTCTAAACTAAAATCTGTAACACCGTTAAACAAACGAAGTAATGTTATATATGAAATTTCATGTTCGAACTGCGCCCAACTTTACATTAGACAAACTTTTCAATAAAAAAAAAAAAAAAAAAAAAAAAAAAAAAAATGATAAAAAAATATGTAACCGCATCAGCAATCATGTAGTCAACCGAAATAACATTGCGATTTTAATTAAACTAAATTTTTAAAAACAGAAATCAACCAAAAACGAGAATTTATGAAATGGTGGAGATCCAAAAAAACAAAAACGCGGTAAATGATAAAAAGGACCTAAAAAATCTAAGCAAAATATATCTGTCGATAGTGTCGATCCTCTAACGCACTAAGAACAGTAGACATCGGGTATTGAACCGATAAATGTGTTTTATACAGAGCCATCTGCAAGGAAATACGTACGTGCTCGTAGTAAAGTGTATGGTCCAAAACAATGTAAAAAACAATAGTTAATATGTGTTATTGTGTTGTCCAGTCTAACAAATTTTACTCTGTAAGATGCTAACGTTCCTCAACGTAAGACCTTTTAGTTTGACATTTTTATCTTTATTGATTTTTACTGACTGTTTTATATTCTTAAGGGCTTGGAAAAGACATTATACTGTCGAAACGTTCGTCACAAAATAAAGAAATAATGCAAAAATTATAGAACGATTTATCAAACCAACGACCTATGCAGAGTGAAAACAAAAACACAAAAGTCCACTATTAGTTATGTACGGTAGGGTCTTTAGAAGAAAAGTAAACTGAACTCTTATTCATCGAGATTGATGCAATACAATAAAGGAAAAATACTAATGTTGTTAAAAGCTGATTCAAAATATACTCGATTCCATCAATCTTATTTCTCTTCATATAGTTTTAATTAAGCAAAAAGATTTATTTTTGCCACTAAAAGAAGATTGTCATAGGATAAATGAGTTTTGTTGCTAGATTGTCTATTTAAAAGGATTAATGCTTTACGAGTTTGTGCGTTGAATTGGACTAATATTTTTGCAATGACACTAACCACACAATTGTTACCATACCATGAGAGTAACGAAGAAATTCAAAAGTTTACTAATTAGAATGTTTTAAAGGTGTTTCGAGCGGTTCCACTTGGTTGACACTAGAGATCAGTTACTGCAAAGATTTAAAGAGAAGTTACCACAACCCGGAGAAGTTAAGAGCACAATATCAAGAAAACATAGACTTCTTCGTCAATATCGTGCTCCGGAATATGTTAAAAACTATATTTTGTTTTTAGGTTTTGAAAATGTCAAGTCAGAATATTGAACTAATTAGTTCAGTAATCTGTACTCTCAAGAAAATTTTAATGACATCATTTTAATGACTTAAAAATAATTTATCAAAAAAAAAAAAAAAAAAAAAAAAATGAATAATTATTGATATGATTCGTAATATGAAAAAGGAATGAGTGCGTGTGCACAATATTATGATAAATTATGATTTTAGAATTATTCTACTGTAATGACTGGACTTGCTTTAGAATCCAAATACATACTTAAATAAATTTTGTTAAATCGGGGAATACCTTACGAACAAGTAGCAGATGATGTAAACACTAACTTAAATAGCAATTTAGTTAACCAGGATAATTCATCCAATAACTTAGTTGATGTAGAATTATATTTTAGTATTTAAAATTTATATTTTAATAAGATTTTTTTTTTTTTTTTTATTTATAGATTTTTATTCATTCATAAAAATTCAACAAATAATAAACATTTGATAATGCACACATAAGCATTTGATCCTTAGACTTAAAGCATTTTTGGTGGATCCGATAGGCAAAAGCTTGGTGATTTCGATCTATTTCATATACTGTTTTTTTGGAAATATTTTTTTTTAATTTTTGGATATTTTAATAAAATAGCCAAAAAAACAATTCCACTTTCAATGCTTTCTTCATTGAGTTTTTC